ATCCCCGGTTGGAGTTCAGTTACGCCCGAAGGTGTACCCGAATCCCTCAAACCAAGGCTCTGATACCAACTTGTAACGACGTAAATTTTAAAACCAATTTTTCATTTTTGTAATCATCAAAACATCGATTGATATTTCAAATTCAAAAGTACAATATGGTCACAACATAATACATCCCAAAGATCATAAAAATAGTTTTCCCCCGATAATGTGTACGATCACGTCAGCGCCTTCCCACGGTCCTCGCTAGTACCTGAAACACATAACACAACAACTGTAAGCATAATTGCTTAGTGAGTTCCCCAAAATACAACCTACGCACATACGCCTTTCCAGGCCCTGACCTTCCGGTCCATGTGTCTCAGGGGACTTCCGTCCCGACTGGGTAAACCTTCCGGTCCTACCCACGTCAACCTTACGGTCCATTTTACAACGCCTTCCGGCCCATAACATATTCGCCTTCCGGCCCATATCAAGCATATCATACATGGCACATATAACAATTAACTTATCACACATAATGCATATATCTCATATCATATCCGACCTTCCGTTCATACAGTCAAACCCTTTCGGGTACAGTATAATGAGAAGACTCACCTCGTATATCTCGATAACTCGCGAATCCTGGAAATCACTCGTGCTCGATTCCCCGAGCTATACTCCTCCTATAACATCATATATCTCTAATTAATACTTTTACCACTAAGGTTGACTACCCCTATCAAGTCAACACTGGTCAACTCTGGTCAACGGTCAACGGTCAACTTGATCGGACTCGGCGAGTGTACTAGGGCGACTCGACGAGTTCCACCTGGCAAGAATCGTGGGGCCACCACGACTCAACTTGCCGAGTCACGAGAACAACTCGGCGAGTTCCAGCTCGACTCAGTCCACCTGTCAATCCCTCTCTAACTCTCCGTGACTCACTGAGTCAACCATAACTCGGCAGGACCACTCACTGAGTGGCTAAGGACAAACTTCATGCTACTCGCCGAGTCTGTTCTTCAGACTCGGTGAGTCCATGCCATGCATCAACTCAATCTTGCTTCTGAGGTCAGATCCGCTCCATACACTCATAGATCTGGCCCTCCTAAGCTTATTCATCACGTAAAGTCACAGTCTTGGCTACCATGCAACACCCACAAGGCTCTTTTTAGAGAAATGACCTCTAAGATGGCAACCCTAGTCTCCAACCCAAAAGGAAGGACATAAAGCAGAGAAGTAGGGACTTTCTAGACCTGCTAAGGTCCAGATCTAGGTACCATATCTCCATGGGACCTCTCACACTTCAATTACAAAGCAAACAAGGCAAGAAGAAACCCTAGATTTGACCATATCAACAAAAACACGGAAATAAGCTCTGAAAGATACCTCAAGAAGCTTCCCTTGGCGAAATGGAAGTAGATCCAAGCTCCCAACTCTTCTAGCTTGACTTTCCCCCTTCCTTTCTTGCAAATACTCACAAATTTGGTGAAAAATGACCTCTTATCTCACTCACAGGAACCCTTAGCTACTTTGGTGCTCTCAAGGATCAAGGTAGCCGCAATGAAGGGCCATAAGATCCTTTAAATAGAGCTTAGGACCGGGAAATTAAGGTTTCATTAAATAGCGCAGACTCGCCGAGTCCATTCCTTGGACTCGTCGAGTCCAGGCGCGAACCCGCGTCCAGAACCGCGATCCTACTTGGTGAGTTTGAGTTCCAACTCGCCGAGTCCCCTCACAAAACACCAAAAATTATATGAATAAAAGATACCTGGAAATCCGGGCTGTTACAGTATATGTGTTCATTTTGGTATGTATTTTATATTAGTTGTGTAAATCTTCTATTGATTTTAATTGTAGGTTTGTAGATCTAAAAGGTTGACTTCATATCCACTAAATTCTTTTTACAATTGTTTTCTCTATATTCTGTTAAATTTGTACTTTTTACTCTTTCTTTTTCAATTAGTAATTTCAGAAATTTAGAATTAAGGACATTGGTGTTGCTTTTAAAGGTTTTCTTTTGGATGCAAGAGGCAAGAATGAAAGACGACAGGAAAGGTATGGTTTTTATTGGGATCTTTGAAACCTGAAATTTTATGTTTTATAATTACTAGACCTTTCTTTCAAATGTAGTTTTTTGCTCGATATTTATTTTCTTTTTGGACCCACTTCTATTGCATATATATGAATGGAAGCTGACGAGTTGTTTCTTATATATGAATGTAGGTTGATAGGTTGTTTCTTCTTACCTATGTTCATGGATCCCACGTTGTGAGCCAAATATGTTTGTTATTTTCATTGAATGAGGTATGATCAAATAATGCTTTTGATTGATGAAAAATATAGAATTACAGAGTTTTAGTAATCCCAAATTATGTAATGCTCATTCATGAATGTTAAAGAGACAACATTTAGTGTATTAGTATGGTTATCTTAAAGAAAGGTGTCGTAGATTGTAGGTCAAAAAAAAAAAAATTAGGAAAGTTAGTTATTATTCAAAAAGGAAAAAAAAAAAAAAAAAAAAAAACTAAATTTATATACAGTTTTAATATTTTAAAACAAAAATATTTATCTTTTCTTTTTTGAGTTTCCTTACATGTATCATATTCCAAAGTTTAAGTGAAGGGTAAGCATGACATTTTTCCAAAAAACATAACAACTGAGCATTTGTGTCTACTATGTGAGTATTGCATGTGTGTGTCATATGTTATGTGTACATGATTGTATATGTGTGTGTTTGTGAAAGTAGGATGTTATAATAAACTAATCATGTTATTCAAGCTAGCTTCACCACAAAAATTCTCTTCCCATTGTGTGACATAAACCTTTGGTTCTTTTTAAGTTTCTTTCTTTTTCTATTCTATTTAGATTCTTAGCAAGTTGACTTTGACATTTAACACCATATACATCTTGTGTTCTTTGCTCGAGTGGTTTTTTTTTCATTCCTATTACTTTTGTCATCAATTTCATTCTAATCATTCATTTCTATTACTTTTGTCATCAATTTCATTCTAATCATTGTTTTATTTATTAATTGTACTTCTTTTCTATAATATAACTTTTGTCATCAATTTCATTCTAATATTTTTTTTTCTTAATTGTATTTTAATTGAGTTGTTGAATTTTGCTAATATAGGAGCAATATTTGAGTAAATTGAAAGAAGAAGAGTTTTGCAGTTGACTTTGTTGGAAAACGTCTAGCCAACTCATGGATGGCTAGCTATGCTGCTTCATTCTCTCCATGTTGCCTCCAGATAAGTAGAAAGGAAAGTTTAATGACAATATTGTTTTTTGTATTTGTTTGTTATTTGCTTTCAAGTTTGATGTAATGCATGTAGTAGTCAGATGTTTTAGTTACGACTGTGTTTGGACTTTAGAGGCAGGCTACAGAAAGAATATTTATGTCAAGAAATTCCTGCATAGATCAAGTGTTGGGCCTTAGACTGGAAGATGTTTTAGTGATTGTGTTTAGACTTCTTATATTTTAAAATTTTTGAAGGCTTATTTCATTTTGTATCCATATTGAGAAAACAAGGATTCTTCCGGGCAAGAGGATAAGGTATGTTATTTATTAGAGTAATTTACACGAATGGTCCCTATGGTTTAGGGTAATTTGCACGTTTGGTTCCTAACTTATTTTTTTAACTCGGAAGGTCCCTACTGTTTGTTTTTGTTATACGCTTGGTCCCTATCTTATCTAAAAAAACTATTTTGCCATTGATTTTATAATTTATTTAAATAAACACACTTCCAACCTCACTCCACTCACCTTACCCTACCTATCTCATCATCTTTCCCTAATCAAATAATAATCTTTTTAGGTAAGATAGGGACCAAGCGCGTAATAAAAACAAATAGAAGGGACCAAACACGTAACAAAAACAAACAGTAAGGACCTTCCGAGTTAAAAAAGTAAGTTAGGGACCAAACATGCAAATTACCCCAAACCATAAGGACCATTCGTGTAATTTACTCTATTTATTAAAATTACTGTAAATGTAAGAAGTTACATGTAAGAGTCAAGAGTGTGTGTTTTTAGACCGATATTGTTTCATATTCTGTAATTCAATGTTGCTTCTTGATATCTCTATAGAAAACAAATCATGGGCGAGTTGGAAGTTGGATGTTTGTTGAAATATCTGCTATTATAAGACTTGAAAATGAAAGGTAAAATGGAATTTGGTTACTAATTTTTGTTTCTTTACACTAACGTTTTCTGGTTCTAATTTCTAAATCTATTGATCTTACAACTTTGGCAACTTTTATTAGAGGACAAACAAATCTATAATTTGGTGTCTATGTATCATATCCAAGTATTATATAAAAACTATTATTTTTTCGTTTATTATAATATGGTTGCTATTTAGAGTAAACAAATACAACATTGTAATATTGTGGATGTGTCTGAATTGAATGAATTTGAGTAGTATATTTAATTATTGTTAGTGAACATTGAACATATATCCAAGGTTGAGTATGAGAGTTTTAAGGTTGCTTTGAATAGAGTTTTTAACACACACTGCTTATTTGGTGCAGTAAATTATATGCGTAAGTACTAATCGGTTCTAGAAACTCATTTCTAAAAAAACTATTCACACTCGTCGCTTGGTGTGGGTAAACGATTAATATATATATATATATATATATATATATATATATATATATATATATATATATATATATATATATATATAAAATAAAGAAAACTAATATTTGTCTAAAATCCATAATATTTAGGTCTCAATTCTTAAAATGATTTTGGTCCATTCGAGTATAAAATGTGGGTATTTAGAAATCTCAAAATTTCCCATAATAGTTTTTATTGATCTAACATCTTATCTCGATAATAGTTGGAAACATATAACAAGACCTTTTATATTTACAGAAAAGAAAAATTATCCAAATTCTGTCAAATACAATTATTATTAATATTATTACGACAATACGTTACAAGCACGCTCTTTTTATTTTTACCGTTGTCTTTATTATGTTGATATGATATAATACCTAAATAATTACTTGCCATTCGATTGAAAAAAAGAAGCCAACAAAGTTTTGAGTATGCGTGCGTCCTCACAATTAGGATCAAACAGATGGAACACATGATCTCTTCCTTCAGTCTCCATAATTTCCACGTCTCCATTCCAACTACTCTTCTTCAGTGTCTCGTAGTAACTCAATCCACACCCTTTAAGCCTATCTTTCCCAGCTACACACACCTGCACCTTCCCACACGCGATCTTCTCCACCAAACCCGGTTCCGCAGCCGGATTTATCCTCGGGTCACTAACCCCACTTGAATCGGGACAAATATACATCCATAGTTTACCCGGTTGACTGAACTCGAAATACGGGTGAATTAACGCCATGCCCACAATCTTCAAACCGGGCCCGGTTCCATCTACGCCGGCTCGGACCGCTATGTTATGTGCGATGTTAGCCCCAGCGCTATCTCCCATTAAAAAAACCCGGTTCAGATCGGCGTGGTCTTTTATCCATGGATCGGGTGCTTGATCGACCCATTTCAGAACTTCCCAGCAATCTTCGTAGCAGGCCGGGATTGGGTGCTCCGGTGCGAGTCTGTACTCGACGGAGACGGCGATTACGCCAGAGGTGGCTGTTACGGAGTTTAAGTAGGCGTGGTTGAGAGTGGAGAAGGCGGATTCGATTGTGAAAGCGCCGCCGTGGATGTAGATGAGGAGTGGGAGTTTAGCGGCGGCTGTGGCAGTGGTGGTTGGTAGGTAGAGACGGGCGGAGATCTTGGGATCTAGTGAAATGTCGACGTCTTTAGAGAGAACATTGGTTATGGGATCGTGCGATGGAGGGATGATCGGGGTTCCTGTAATTCTTTCGATGCGGCCACTTTTGTAAACACGGAAGAAAGGGTTGAAGTCGTGAGTTACCTCATTATCGATGGAATCCATTGCAGGTGGAGTTTGTGTTTGTAGTGAAAGATGTAGTGGTAGTAAATGGAGTGTTTATGAGAGCAACCCAGGTCCAATCAGATTTTTTTATATTAAAAAACTAGTTTGTACATGGACTTATTACCTAAAATATATATTTTTAATTATATAAAATTATAATATTTAAAAATACATGAAATTATATATATATATATATATATATATATATATATATATATATATATATATATATATATATATATATATAAGATTTATGTATGTAAAAACATTGTTAAGACATTAGATAACCTTGTAAATCAACGTGCTTTTAATACTCCATGTGAGTTTTATAATCATATTATTGACCCACACTGCATATAACAACGTTTTTCAGGCGTTGGAATGTTATGATGTTTGTCACCCCAGAACTACCGGTCTAACTGTAGCTATCAGTTTAGGTGTGGGATTGTCAATCCCGTATACATCTATACACAAGTATCACGTTCTCCCTACAAGAGATTATGGTATATAATATAGGACTTTAATTGCATACTCGAAAGTACGTGAAGTTGAATGTCTCATAAAACTTAGTATCAAATAGATTTACGTATGAAAAGTTCATTTGTTCTTGTATATGAAAGTATTTCCCTGATATAGTACTCATAGTATGTAAAATCTCTTGAATATCTAGTAAACTATACCTATTATAGTATTTCTCAAATGTATGATTCGTTTGTATGATAAACCCTAGTGCAGTATCAGCTTGGTATGTAAGTATAATATTTGTAATAACATTATTGAACATTATACACCAATATATAAATAAAGTGTTTGATATTAGTATAGCAACATGCTTTTACTCTTAAAAGACAAAATGTTATTGAATAGGTGTTGCATGTGAGCGTTTTCATGTGATAGTTATGAATCACATATGATTTGTTATATAAAGATAACTGTGGTAAAAGCTTAATGTTTTCCGCACGAGAGTAACCGTGTGTTTACTTGTATCCCCCCCCCCCCCCCACCAATTTGAAAGTGTATAAAAAGCATTTATAAGCATTTGATGAAAACGTAGTTGTAGGGGTATGAACTCACTTGATAGACAGAAAAAGGTAAAATGAAAAACTAAGCAGAACTTCGACTAGGGAAAGTTGAATTTCTCGAGATTCTCGGAAGTGAAAAACCTTCCTTCGGAACTTAGATATGAAGACCAAGGCTTCGGGATGGCTTCGAGGGGTTTAAACGCAGAGCTTCGGCACAAGAGAGAGAAGAAGTGAGCAATGGAGCCCAACACCTTCGACTGCTATTTATAGCCCTAATTTGGGCGCCACGTCGTGGTACATGTCACCACGTCGTGGTGAGGGATTCTATCCTCTTCCGTTGACGAGACGTTTGCTGACACACCTGGCACCCATCAATCACAATACCACGTCGTGGCTTCTTCACCATGTCGTGGTGGGCCTGACAGCCTCAGATTTTGTGCCAAAAACTTTTAAAATTCGTAACTTCCGCGTACGAGCTTCCTTTTTAACGTTCTTTATATCCACGCGTAGGTGAGATTATGCTCTACAACTCTCGTTTAGACTCAGTTGGCAAATTTTGACTTTATTTATTTTTATTTATTTTTAACGGGCCGGGACACGAAAAGTTCGTTAAAAATCCATAACTTCTTCATGTGATGTCCGTTCTCGTCAGACTTTATACCGTTGTGCTACTATTGTTGAGATCTTCGATTCTCATTTAGGTTGTATTGGCTAAAAATCTCTCGATCCCTATTTTGAGTATTTTAGTTGTCTGCTGCTATATTTGGAACTTGGAAAAATCATAACTTTCTCATACGAAGTCAGATTTGGACGTTCTTTTATATACGCATACGATCTAATGATATCTACAGCTTTAATTTAGATACCTAAGGCTAAATATAATTGTATTGAAACTTCGCGTTTTACGTTCATTAGTATTGCCGTTTTTACTGTGACTCTTAGATTGGTCATAACGTCTTTGTTATAACTTGGTTTTTAGTGTTCTTTATATTTCTGAAACCCTTGATACGATGTTAATCATTTTATGTAACCCAATAGAGACTTTTGAACATTCAAATTTTGATGCAAATTTCATTACATTAAAAGATGTTACAATTCTAGACTTTTTAGGTCATTACACCGATTCGAAAATATCGGGTTGTCACAACAATGCCTTTGCATTCCCGCCTCCGGGTCCCATGTAACAACCCAAAAATCAGAGGTAAGAATTTCATTTTAAATATAGCTAAAACATTGATGTCATGTATTCTAAAAAATTCAAATCATCATTAAGTAAAACATTCATCAGAGTTCATCCCAAAATCATTCATTGTGGAAATCATAGGTGTGTGGATTGCGATCAATCCGAGCCCTTCCTTTCCAAAACGATGATACCTAAAATCATAAACAAAATCTGTAAGCATGAAGCTTAGTGAGTTTCCCAGAGCATACCATACACACAAACCACGTATCACATATATTTGTTGCTATAAAAGCTAACTGTATCACATTTCCTGCTAGCTATAAAAGCTACATATAACACATAAGCCATGCCTACAAAAACCTGTAAGGATGCCATGGGCTACCCCACATGGTCTTAACCTAGGAATGACACGGTCTACCCCACATGGTCTTATATCCAATTGCCACGGGCTCCCCCTGGGGTCTTCCATGCAGGTATCACAAAGACAACTAGCATAACAGACATCACATAAACATATCATATATCACAGAAATATCTACACATAACACAAATAAACCTGTAGGGATGTCGTGGGTTCCCCCAAGGTCTTACACCATTGTTCCATGGGCTACCCCACATGGTCTTTACCTAGGAATGCCATGGGCTACCCCATATGGTCTTACATCCAATACCATGGGCTACCCCACATTGTCTTTCATGCAAGTATCACAACACAACTAGCATACCATACATCATATAATTACTAGCATCCCACCTAGCATAAAGCTAACTATCATACCACATAACATAAAATGGGCCGGACTTGGTGCCTTATACCCATTGGTATGGTGAGAAGACACACATCGAATGTAGAAGCTTCCTGAAGAATTCCTTAGTTGCTGCCCCGCCATCCTCCCGAGCTGCCACTACCAATCAATATACCCAATTAGCAATTGGATCCCATAACATAATCCTTAATCCATGCATAGTGTAAAATGACCATTTTACCCCTACCCATATATGATCCAAAACTAAGGCCCAAACTGTAACGCCCGCAGATCCGGGTTAGTCAATTTAGAGGCAATAGGGGTCGAAAACGACTTTTCGACAAAATATTATTTAGAATAAATAATCTTAACCAATTTTTAGAATATGTCACAAGGTTTCTGTACATATAAAGAACGCCAAAATCCGAGTTATAACGAAGAAGTTATGGCCCGTCGAAGTTTCGCGACAAAACCGACACGACACCGGGAAGCGTAAATAGTGAATTTACGATGGAGGAATTTTTAGCCTTAGTGATCTAAACAAAATTCATAGAATATATTAAACCGAGAAAATCCATAAAAAGAACGCCTAAATCTGACTTCGTATGAAGAAGTTATGATTTTTCTAAGATTCGGCTTAGCAATGTACAACCCGAAACTCGAATTTTAGTTCGAGCGGTTTTGGCTTACGCGACCTAAATGAGAGTTGAATATCTCATTAATAGGAACTCAATGGTAAAAACATGGACAAAAACGGAGTCCGCATGAAGAAGTTACGAATTCTTCGCGGTCATTTAACAGTCTAAACGCCTCCTACTGTTAAATTTGATATCGGTCGAGAATTAGCCGACGGAGTCTAAATGAAAGTTGTAGATCTTGATTTTACCTACGCGTGGATATAAATAATTTCAAAAACAGAGCTCGTATGCGAAAGTTACGGGGTTTAGAAGTCAGCAGGGTACTGCTGCAAAAAAGGTGACGTAGCTGAATATGGGCCAAGGCTTTCTCCCCAAGGAAAGCGATCAGGTGATGACACGTGGCACTAACTCGGTGAGTCCGTCAGGATTTCACCCTATAAATATAGGTGATGGGTTCCCTCATTTCCTCACCCCTCAACCCTCTTCTTTCTCTCTCTAACTCTCTCTCTAAGCCTCCCTAACCCCCCAAAGCCTAGGGTAACTCCCTAGCACGAGGTGGAAGCCCCGGAGCGCCCGACGCCTTTCGGCTCGGGAAACGCTGCTCCAGCGAAGCCCGGTTTTGCGAAAAACCCGCTGTAAGAGAGCTACGCCTACGCTAGTTTTAATATAGCTTCTAATTAATTATAGTAACATTATTAGGACCTTAAAATAATTGTTTGGGCTATTATTATGAGTTATATTGAGTGTTATTTAACGCTTATATAATAATAATAATAACTAGACTATTAATTAGTCACGGTTAACGTCAGACTAAACCCTAGTCATATTGATACTGTAACGCCTGTGTTTCCAGGCTTGCCATTTTTAGCAATGTAATGGTCTAGGTTAACCTTTGTAACCCGTTTTGAAATAATAAGATTGTATTATTTGAGTATTATGTGTTTTGTGCTTAATTTCTTAATTATGTGGTTTGAATTAATTAAGAATAAAAACAAGCGTCAAAATTTAAGTGTAAAATAAACTTGATATCTTTAGATAATGTTGTAGTAGTTGAAACAAGGTTTCCGATGGTATAAAGAATGCTGAAATCCGAGTTATAACGAAAAAGTTATGACCTGTCGAAGTTTCGCGACAGAATCAGCAACGCTGGGTAACGTAAAAAGTGAGATTTACGTTAAAGCGATATTTAGCCTTAGTGATCTAAACGAGAATCGAAGATCTCGTTGTTAGTATCAAAGCGATAAAAAGTTAGGCGAGAACGGACGTCAAACGAAGAAGTTATGAATTTATAACGAAATTTTCTGTCCCGGCCTATTAAAAATAAATAATAAAAATAAAGTCAAAATTAGCCGACGGAGTCTAAACAAAAGTTGTAGAGTGTAGTCTCACCTTTCCGTGGATATAAAGAACG